TACAGTAAGGTCTATATCATTCCAAATTTAGTATATTTACTGCCGAACAAGCGTGTAAGGTCTTTTGGAATAGAACATTTGTTCTTATAGTCACCAAACGTAGAATTTGACATGATGGATAAAACAACAACCCAAAACATATTCTATAATTCCACGACATTGTTGGCATGAAGGGAATGATTACTTATACCTTAAATGTAAACATAGGTATGTATTTTTAAAATGAACAAATCTTCTTGGCTGTGTATGTGGTTAGTCAGAATGCATTATCTGTACGAAGGTTTAAACGCGCTGAAGCAAAACAAAACATCAACGAATTTGATCAGATAGCAATCCAACCGAAATAATGGTTAATAAATTAAGCAAACTTCGCGCTGTTAGAAATAAGAGTTGCCATATCAACCGATTATTAACTTATTCATTGTTGACCCAACGTTTAGGCGACTCGCTGCTACCTTCATCAGGGTCGTTTTATTCTGGAATCTCTCCTAGCTACAATTCCCTTGATAAAGGTAGCGCAAAGTCTTTGCGCTTGATATGGAATTGAATTGATTGATAAGGCATCTTGTTCTTTCTACAATAAACTTCTAAGTCAACAAATGATGTAGAAAAAACAATTTGCGTTCTTATAATATAATAACGCTATCTATACTATGTATAGTGTGTTGTAAAGTTTTGAATTTATAAGAAATATGAAATTAATATTTCTGAGCATCCGTTTGACTAAAACCTTGTTTGAAATATATTCAAGGAATTCAGTATTTACCATTGAAATCCTTGCTCTTTTAGACTTCATTCAATACACAAAGAGAAATATGAATATATTTTTAAATATATACCATATTTATATATTATCCATACTCATTCTACAATGTACAATATACAATGATACTAATATTTAAATGCATATACTACGATATTTGCATATCGACCCATACTAAAACCTTACTCGCTATACTAAACATTTCTCTCACAAAAATAAAAACACGAATTTCTTTCAAAATTATAAATAAGTACCTATTTTCTTTGATGAATTTTCTTCAAGTGCCTTTGACTATTTCTTTCATAAAAGAAGATGCATTGAATTAACCGAAAAAAAAGTTAAATTCCTTTTCTTTTTATAACAAGGTTGAGAGGTATAGCTTAGATGGCGCTGTAGTATCTCGTCCTGTTCTGTGTTTATAAAATTTCACTTTAAAACATAATATTTGAAAAAAAAAAATTCTTTAATTTATTTTAAATATATATATATATATATATTGATGAGCAAATATAAAATACACACAGATTAAGAAATAGGTATATTTATATTTTACCATTCATATTATTATAGAACTAACTTGATTAAACATATGCTTCTTCTTGATGGCCAGTCTAGTGTTGAATCATTGGTATATTATAACATAGTATTTATTAATTTTATTTATCTAACATAGTATTTATTAATTATTTTTTATTTATTAACAGAGTGGTCATTTTTATGTTTATATCTGGCGACTAGGTAAATTTCTCTCGTTGCTTATATTTTGTTTACAATTCATAGTTTGTCCTTGCCTGAAATAAATTTTGTTTCCTCCTGAAGTTTTTGCCTTCCCTAATTTTCCACGTGGCATTTTGGTGGAGATGCTGGGTAAGTTAGGGAAGACAAACTGAAGATCGCCGAGAAGAATTTGAAGACATGGGTTCTGTAATCCACATTTTTAGAGACTGGCTCCAGGATTCCACCGCCGTGTCAAAGCCAAGACTTCCTTCCAAGATGACGATGTCCCTATAGACGACGATGCGACGACAAAACCGCTCTTCAGGCCGCAAGAAAATGGACGCAAAGGTACTAGGGACAAAGTTCCAAGACTTCGATGGAATCCTTGGCAGAAGCACCTCAAATCCACGTCAGTATCTTCAATAATTGCTAGCTGTGGGTCACATCTCACATAGGGAAGAAGCTATGTAACATAGTATTCATTAATTTTATTTATGTAACATAGTATTTATTAATTTTTATTATTTTTTTTTATTAACAGAGTGGTCATTTTTTTATGTTTATATCTGGCGACTCTGTAAATTTCCCTCGTTGCTTATCTTTTGTTTACAATTCATAGTTTGTCCTTGCCTGAAATAAATTGTTGTTTCCTCCTGAAGTTTTTGTCTTCCCTAATTTTTTCCACGTGGCAATATCATTACCATCAGGATTGTCTGAATTGTAAGAAGAGTTGGAACTCTCGGGTAACGACTGATGTATTTATAAACCAAGATATAGAGATAAATATGTTTGGCTAACCCAGGTTCTGTGAACCTACAAATGTCGCCGACCACATGAATAAAATACAGAAAAAAAACCTTCTAGAAACCAAAATATATTCAGATATTATAAAGCAGGGCATGTGTACAGTAAGAAAATCCAAGCGGCCTATTTGATGCGTGATCACCTCCCAGAGGGATCGCCTTTATGTAATAAGAGTATATTATACAATATAATATAATGCGGCTTGTGATTGTAAAACGACATTTGAAAACTATCCCGCATGTGTTTCTTTTCAACGAAAAAACAAAATTTATTCCAAGGAGAAATAAAGATTATTTCTAACCTTTGGGATGAGGTATGAAAGAGTGAATTTTGAAGAGTAATGATAAACCGAAGTTTCTTGTATAGTAACCTGTTAAAGGACATCATAGTCCGAAAGCTAGCCAAGATTATACAGCACAAATAAAGAAAATCGTCGTCGTTTTGATTCCTTCTTCCAAATAACTTCACTAATCCACAATCTCCACTAGGAGATTATAGGCATCCATGTTTTTGACGGTTGCTTGTGAGAAGTTCTATATAAATAAAGATATATATGTATTTCACCCTCAATACCTAAAACATCGGTATAAGAGAGTCACATGGACTCTAATTTAAAAAATATAAAAAAGTTTGCTAACTTCCTGAGACTATTAAACGGCTTTATCTCTCTGGGTTTTATTTGGTCTTCCACAAATAAAATAAAAAACGGGAGTTTTAAAAGCTGGGTGTACAAAGCCGCTTAGGGAAGGAAAGCCGATCTTGCTACATTTCTCCTTGGAGGGGATATTGACCGTTCAATTAATGGACGAAATAACTGACATTCTCTCTTGCCCAGCGCGTTTTTTGAGACATTTCTTGCTGATAGCATGACATTTACATGGTATTTTGACATTCCCCATGAATATTATGACATTCCTTTTGCTTTATCCGTTGACAGTTTGATCTCCCTTATAAATATTCGTGATTGTCAAAGTATTTGGGTTTTTGTTGCGGAGATTTTGCCTACCCGGATAAAAATGTTGAAATAACTTTTATTTATCACAAAAAAAATTCCTACTATATGATAGCGAATAGGAAAAGAATTAGAGAAAAAATAATTTGAACAAATAATCTTAAATTAATCGAAAGAGAGCCCAAGAGAAAATACAATAGCTATTTAAACAATGAAAAAACGATAGTTCAGTGTGCTAATCTGCAATATTGGAAGAGTGCGAACAAAAGAAAAAAAATCTTCACCTAATTGTCAAGTACACTCACAATAGATTTCCTAACAATATTTGTGAAAATAGCTCTTTCCATAAACCAGATAAGGGGTGCATTTGCAGATTGTGCAAATTGTCTGTTCTCTCAGATACATCTCTCCTGTCAAACGGAGATTCTTCTCAATTGCACGATTGGGAAGTTTAGATACCGTATTTGACCATTCTGGTTATATATGCTTCACTAAATGCTAAACAAAATGAGTATAAAAAAAGGTTTATATTATATTATATATATATATTCAATGATCATTTTAATAGATGAGATATATTATGAACTTATTCACAAAAACCATTCATGTTAATGTGATAACATGTTTGTGTATTTTGTTATCCTTTAAAACGTCTCTGCTTCAGTTTCACGAATAATTGATTATCGCCGAGTAGAAAAGACAAAACACGAATTTGCTAACAATTACCGAGAAAACCTAAATTCATTAATCTTCTATCCCTGTAAAAAGGTAAATAGATAAATAAATAAATAAAAAAGTTGGGTATCGGTCCCAAAAATCTAATTAAGATACGTCTAAAGTTGGGAAAATGATTTATCCATATTTAAAGGACTCACAAAAAGATTGGGAAGAAAGTTTAATTTTGTTAATTGGTGCCAAGTTTTTGATAGATTAACTATTAATGGCAGAGATGTTAGTGGTTAGGATCGATTAGTTCCACACCTGTGTAACCATTCTTCATCCGGGACTTGGGGTTTTAAAAATGACGATCCTCATTGTAATGTCGTTTGGACGTTTTCTTGTTGTTGATGTCAACAGAGAGGGTGAAAGATGGTGTCCCCAGTACCATGCATTCCATCTAACACCATTTAAGACACAACGTTAAAAACTTTTAAAAGTTTAACAATTTTTGTCTTTCAAAAATTTGTGAAAGTAATTAATTAGTAAAAGAAATGATTTACGTGAAATATATTTGCCATTGTTTAACACATAGAGATAAAAAGGTGTTTTAAAATAGAGATTTATTTTAAGAAGAAAGAAGAAACATTTATCTAAAAAGTAGAAAATAGAGTTTTTCTTTAAGTATAAATATAGTGATTTGAAAATATAGTTACAAAAGGATTTTAAAGTAGAATTACATTTATTTAAGAAAATGAAAAAATAATTAACGATTAAGAGTTTATAGAAAAAATTCCATATAGATAAAAAAACATATAGATATATTTGAAGGTAGAAATATATAGAATTGCTTTCTAATTGAAACTTTATTCATATAAAATGTTATATCGTTTTTACACATAACACTTACAATTAGAGAACTAGGAGTATAACTTAACGGATAGTATAACCTTTGTAGAACGATATTTGACAATTATACCTCAAATATTTATTTTGAACAAAAAAATCGAAATTTATTTTAATGATAAATAACGATTATTTCTAACCTTAGGAATGAATTACGAAAGGATGAATAGTGAGGAGTAATGATAAACGTAAAAATAAAGTTTCCAGGGATGGGAAACGAACCCACGGTGTTCCGCTTAACGGGCAGATGCCATGTCCACTAGGCTTCCCATCCCTGGACAATTATTTTTCCGTTTATCATTACTCTTCACAATTCAGTATATAACTTTTATAAATATAATTTAATAATTTCTTAAATTAAAAAATAAAATGTGAATGAGGGCCAACACTTATAACGCTTAGTAAATGTGAATCTTGATTAATCAAGAATGGGTATTTGGCCAATTCTGGAATAATTAAAAATTAACGAGAATAGTTGATATTTATTCCGATAGATGGTGCAAGCCATCAGCAACTCTCAGTTTCACGATAAGGAGATGCCTTTTTCATAAAAAAATAAAAGTTTTTGATTAAACCCGCGAGAGTGAAATTGATATGAATTCCTACTTACCTATTTATTACCTCGATTATACTTTTAATGTTCAACTATATTTTTAAATTATTTATTCATCAAATAATTGTTATAATAAATGTTTTATATGATATACTAGCGGATGTACCCGGCTTCGCCCAGGTTTTTCTCGAGGGAATGTTTGTAGTCTAGTAATAAGAAAATATACTGCACCTAAAAACTATCAGAGAAAAGAGAAACCACGGAAGGTGAACAGAAAAATGCTTACAATGGATGTTATGTTTACGATATCAAGTTAAATAAAAACAAAGATAAAATTTGCATATGTTGGTCACTATAAATTTGTATATTTGTTAGGCGAAATTAGAAACATGATAAAACAATTGGGTATTTAAAAACAAATGTAGAAATAAAAGTTGAAGTATAATAAACAATGTTAAAGATTAGTTTTAATTATTAATCAAGATTGTGTGTGAATATGTGAGAAAGATGTAATATCGTTGTTGTTTTCTTGGCCGACTGTTTTACATATGGTGTTATCTTAAAATTGCTTGTTTTGAATATTTTTTAGATTGAGATTATTAGCTAGTATGTAAAAAAAATTAACTCTGTTGAAATTTAATTTTGTATTTATATATAAATAAAATTAACTCTGTTGATTTTTTTTTGTATTTAATCGATAACAGCGAAGTTACGCATGTTAATATTAGGAAATATATTTTGATGTTAAGCAAAACCTGCTCCATCTCGTTTTACATAAATGTTGAAAATTTGGTTGAAATTGATGCATTGTAACGAAAGTTTTTAGTGATGTCCACTTATGAAATTTCCATTTTATTAATATAGATATTTAATTAAAAAGGCATATATTTTATCAAAATATCATTTATTTTACTAATATGATAAATTATATTTTGATCCAATATATGTCTTTTTAATTGAAGATCTATTTATGGATTGCTCTATTTTCCAAAATGAATATATATAGCATATATTTTTATTTATTATATTAAAATTTCTATCACAATTTTTATTATAAGAATGTTATATGCTCACATATGGAAATATGTGGAGAAAGCGGATATGCAAATACACACAAGAAAATATGCAAAAATCCAAACTAAAATGATTTGCTTTCTCTCTTTTAAAGAAAATTGGTTTTTATTGGTTAAATTTAGATTTAATTTTCTCTTCCGGGAGTAAAAGGGTCTAGAAAATTGAAAATGAACAGTTGGCACAACGAGTTTGTCTGCGTAGCTCTAAAGAATTATTTTGATGTAGCACTTTTCTAGGACATTTCTGAATTTTATAGAAGACAATACATTCCCAGACATGTATAAGTTTGTTTATTTACTATATTCTGGTGATTCTTTATTATAGTTGTGTTTTTTTATGAAGGTTTGTGATTGATTTGGTAACATATATAGTTTTCGGTTTATACCAACAACTAAAAATAAATAAAAAATGATATATCACATGTCACACATACATGTACACATGTGAAAACCTACAAATTAGTGCAAATAAATAGGGCAAAACCGCCGGGAAGGTTCACCACTGATGAGCCAGGCCCTCCCAATATTCAATTATTGTAGTAGGGGTAGTAGAAAGATGGTGTTTATTTAAAAAACAAATAAACCTACGTGGATGTGTAGTTTATAGTTTTGTTTACAGATGGTGTGTTTCTATCAAGTAATAAGTGACAGAGAGAAATGCAACGATTCGTTTTCAGATAAAATTCCATTTTTGAAGAAATATTACTAAATACTAAATAATAAATTGTGCAAAATATTATTGTGAGACCATTCATTTATCAAAGGTATTTATAGTTATATTTTAAGAAATATATTGCTATATAATATTTAAATATATAGGAAATATGTTGAAAATAAGAAGAAATTAAGGAAAAGTTTAATCGAAAAGCAGATATAAGAGAAATATTTGAACAAAAGCTATAAACAAAAATATACTGTAAAATTCTGAGCCAGAAAATCGAAAGAAAAGAGTCGAAAATAAGACAAACACATCAAAGAGCAGGAAAATAGACAAAGAATTAAAAATATTAGCTGAGAAGATGATAAAACAAAGGAGATGTTCAAAGTGGAGTGAATAACTCTTAAAAGAACGAGAAAAATATATGAGAGAATAGATAACTGAACAGATAAAAAAGTGAGAGAGAAATAATGAAGAGAGAGAAATAGTAAAAGAAAAAGAAAGAAGCGATAGAGTAGAGAATTTAAAATAAGGAAGAGAAAAGCGACCAAATAAATATATAGCAGTATTAGAAGCTAGGCAATGGAGAGTGATTAGTAGGCAAATAGAAAAGGTATATTAAAGGATGTATTAGTGAAGAGTAAGTTGCACGTGAGGATAGTGATAAATACACAAATTATATAAATTCAAGATAGAGCAGAGAATGCAATAGAAGTGCGTGAGGACAGTGAGAAAGACACAAATATATATATAAGATAGGTCTAAGAATACAATAGAATAGTGATAAATATAAAATGAATATATAGAGAAACAAGATAGAGCAAAGAGTACAAAATAAGTATGTGAGGATAGTGAGAAATACACAAATATATAGAGAAAAGCTAGATAGAGCAAAGGATACAATAGAATAGTGATAAATACAAATTAAATATATAGAAAAACAAGATAGAGCAAAGAGTACAAAAGAAGTACGTGAGGACAGTGAGAAAGACACAAATATAAATATAAGCAAGATAGGTCTAAGAATACAATAGAATAGTGATAAATATAAAATAAATATATAGAAAAACAAGATAGAGCAAAGAGTACAAAAGAAGTATGTGAGGATAGTGAGAAATACACAAATATATAGAGAAAAGCTGGATAGAGCAAAGAATACAATAGAATAGCGATAAATATAAAATAAATATATAGAAAAACAAGATAGAGCAAAGAGTACAAAAGAAGTATGTGAGGATAGTGAGAAAGACACAAATATATAGAGAAAAGCTAGATAGAGCAAAGAATACAATAGAATAGTGATAAATACAAATTAAATATATAGAAAAACAAGATAGATCAAAGAATACAATAGAGGTACGTGAGGCTAGCGAAAAATACACAATTATAGAGAAAACTTAGATAGAGCAAAGAATACAAAAGAAGAACATAGAACGATGTATCCCAGACAGACCACCAAGCTAACAAGCTCCCCCACACAACATCATGTCAGTCAGCATTAACGTCCCGCAGGTGAGAAATTGGTTTGGGAAATTAATTTCACTGAAATAAGGTCATAAAGCGGTCATTCCCCCGCGTTGCTAGGAAACCGCGTCTGGTCACCCTGTGACGACATAATGGATCCACGGGGGACGACAGAAGCGGGGACACAGATCCTCCTCCCAGTATCTACTGGATGGTCCAACGCTTGTACACATTCAGATATACTGTGTGTATGCTTTTCTCAATTGGTCTATTTATTCTGAGTGGTGAAAGTGATTTCGAAGTCTCTATTGTACCTATGTACCTCGTGTGTCTTCACAAACAAGAGAGCAATAGACAAATGAACAAAACTTAAGTAAATTCTACCTTTTAGTATGTATGCATAATAAATGCCCAGCGCTAATACTGTAGGATGACATTTTAAAAGCAATTTTTGAAGCCTTTTCACAAATAAATCAAACTTCTACTGTCTTTACTGCGATGAAAAAATAGTAGGAGGGCTTGTCTCATCAGTGGTGAACCCTCTCAGCAGTAAGGACAGTAGAAGTTTGATTTATTTGTGAAAAGAAACATTCTCGTTTTGGTGTTTTCATTTGTATTATATAGATGGCGGGTTATTGTTATATACAAATTTAAGCCTTTATTATTTATATAGTGACAACATGACCTCAATGTTCAATCGGATTTCTGATAATCAAATTAATTTTATTCCAATTTTTGATAATGAAAGTCTTTTTCATTTATCAAACACTGCTTCTAACTTCCAGCCTTGTATTAATATCTAACATTGAAGAGAGACCAATCAAAAAGGGATATAACCAAGCTTCCAGCAGAGCAGTAATATGATCCAACATGAATGAAACATGGATTGCTCAGTTTTCAAACACACAAATCTATATATATGTACCAAAGGTAGCACCTATCTCTTTAAAAATGTATTCAAACAATGTATTTGGTTAAACAACCCAGTACACAACGTAATGGCGGTGATAAATAGTGTTCCACAACACCAGTTTTGGCAAATTTTAAACAAAAGCCACACCTGTATATTTTGTTTTCGGGCTTTGGCCCTCATCAGTACAGGGGCGGCTTTGATTTCATAACTCCTTCGAGAGGAGCCATGAAATCGGTCGAATTGGCCAAAAAGGTGTTCGAGCTGGTGAAGTAGGAAGGCCGATTTCCAGGATATAATACGACATGGAGGGTGGTTTTACAGGGAGAGGTGCCACCTTTGGTACAATAGCAACATCCCATCGAAACTTTATATTATATATTTACATAGTGGGGTTTCTCTGCATCATATTTGTGTGTGTGCTGTGTTGTGTGTTATAGGCATGTTTTTTTATTCACTGATTTCTAAATTATTAATTTTGACTCTGGTAAATATTAATCTTAAATTATTATCAGAGAAATATTTCTACAGATTATGTTTTTCAGATTATTATAAGAATGTTCATTTTTGACTCCACTGTCACCACTTCGAACATGGGCCCGAGGAGAAACGACCGTTGGA